CCCCCCCCCCCCCCCATACCTGACCCAGACACTGTTGTGACAGTGATGATTAGACTGAGTTGGGCTTGAAAAATGTGGGAGTTTCTTTATGAACCACCCTTTGGTGAGTGGCACTTCGTAGTTACGCAGATCTCAGAGAAGAACCATTGGGGGTACCTATTAGTTTAAGGTCATTTGGTTTAAATCCACTGAAAGTCCAGTCTGACTAAATTTAAAAACATCACCATTTCGTATGCATGCACATACGGACATAATTTTAGAACAGCATTTTGTAATTAGAATGCCATTTCTCTTCATATTATCTTTGAAGCGATTGGAATGGGATAGAATAACTGTCTAAATTAGGCCTGAAAAGCCACTAGTTTACTGATAAAAATTCAGGTAAGTATTTTGAAAGTAAAAGAAATACGTGCTGAGAATGCTTCACCCTGGAACAAAGGTGTTCTGCAGAGGAAGAAGAGAGAAAAATTTAAAGAATAGATCAAATGAACCAAGTGTCCTGCAGTATAAGGCATAAAGAAGGGAGAAAGGCTGCAAACTGGGTTGGGTTTTTCCATGTGAACAAAGCGGTGTGAGGTATCTGCCCAGGCATGCATGTCAGCTTTCCCATAGCCACTCCTAAGGTGTGGCATTTATTCATCTAAAGCCTCAGCCAAACGAAACACATTCAGTCCTTGTACCATGGAACCAGTCAGAACAGTTGCATTTGTAAAACTGCAGCTTATAGTCACAGTACTAAAAAGGCTGTTAAAACTCCTTATGAAACATAGAGAGTCAACTTTGTTATAAGAGTGGGTTTGTTTAGGTCTACACACAAGTGACAAAATGGAGAAAAGCAGTAAAACGTTGATGAGGGGCTGGAGTTCTTTCTTTCTCACCTTCCTCTTGACTTGGCTATCTAGGATCAAAAGTCTTGAGGCACCAAGATGAGATGTGGGGATAGAAACAGAACAAGGGGTGGGAAGAGGGATGGAGCAGGACTGAGATAAAGAGGAGGATAATGCAGAAAAGAAACATGAAGGCTGAGCAAGGACTGACTTACCAGAACCATGCTGTAATACACTCTATTGTAATCTATTGTACATTTCTCTTAGGTTCTTGTACGGTACTGTATTATGGCTGACACTATACTCCATTGCATTACAGTGTATTGTGATTTAGAGGATTATAGTAGATCCTATTTTCATTCAATACTTTCTGTACAATGCTACTCTCTCTCAATGACCATATAATATGCACACATTTGGTGATCATGTAAATTGTATATATGTGTATGTACGTATGTATTTATAGAACTTACATAGCTGCAGATCTTACATTCATAACCTGGGCAGTTAGCTCTCTCCCTCTCTCTCTTAATCCAGACTATTCTATTAATTGGTTTAAAAGAGTTTAGAAAAATATTGCATGCTGAAAGCTGAATACTAAACACCTGAATCAGCAGAAAAGGCCTCTAGAAGAGACGTTAAAACTTGTTTTGTGCTTTTGCCTGAAGCTAGGGCTGGATAAAGCCACACCTCAGTGGATGAGACTTCCAATAAGCAACACCTTTATACTGTGTATTAAGAAGCTGTTCTCTGAAACGGCTGGGGGGCACTTAAAAATTGCAAGGGAAGCCATGCCAGCATGGAAAT